TTTTTATTCTGGCTTGTTGATTTTCCCATGTTGTCACACAAGGAAGCAGTGTGTGTTTGAGGTTTTTCTTAAATAATATTCTACAGTTGTGTCTCCAATTAACTCAAATGTTGTCAATTAGCCAATCAGAAATTTCCAAAACCTTGACACCATCATCTTAGCTTTTTCAGAGGCAGAATAATCTTATTGTATGTAAACTTGACTTTCAAAAAAAGTTATAACAATATCTCAAACAATATCTCTCTCATTATTCTGCTATTAAGTACAACAAAAACAAATTTGATAATCATAACTTACCTAAAAGAGAAGAGACTTTTTTTAATGACTTCTGCTTTCAACTGTATATATATATATATATATATATATATATATATATATATATTAAGGGGTCTAATAATATTGACCTTAAAATGGTTTTAAAATATAAAAAATGCTTTTATTCTAGCCAAAATAAAACAAATGTGTGTGTATGTAAGGTGTGTTTGTTTGTTTGTACATCTGTGTGTGCGCATGTGACATACTGGGCCCTATCATACACCTGGCACAATAAGGTGCACAACGTGTTTGCTGCGATTTGTTGCTATTTTTAGACCAGCGCAACTGTAATTTTTACGTTTTGCACTAAGTTGTTAAAATAGCATATCCAATTGTGCCTCTTTGTAGACTCATGGGTGTGCTCGTCTAAAAATAGAGGTGTGTTCAGGCACATTGTTGGCACGATGATTTTTTTAAAGAAATGAAATAGACTGTTCAGTAGACCAGCTGAAACCTGCTCTAAAGTCCAGCGCAGAGATATGTATATTAGTTCTGCGCCTATGTGGGTTCAAACATTTACAAATTGCTTAATACACGCAGGATGTACAGCAATACACAAATATCTTCACAAATGAAAACAAATAAATGAGTAAAATGTTACAAAAATGATTATTTTCTACATAAATATAAAAACCATGCCTTCTTCACCTCAGGGGGCTTTTTTCAGTTTATTTATCATAATTTACATTTGTATAATGTTATTATTATTAGCAGTATTATTTATTATATGCGTATTTATATTGGTTTTATTAAAAAGAAGTTTAGATTTGTCCACCTGTTGGTTTTTGGAGATGTCTGCATCACTATATCGGGCATAAGAACAGGATGTGTATTTTATATAACTCAGTTTTTTGACCACACTTCATTAAACAAAATTAAATATGTAGGCTAATGAATGTCTTCAGTGGAGTACGTACAACACAGTTTCCTTACTCCATGAAAGTAAAGGAGTTAAGTAAAGAGGAAGTAAAGAGACCGAATGGAGGAGGCTCGTTCTTTATCCTTGCGCTGCAGATGCTCTGTTTAACTGTTTTCTCACTAGTGAAGCGCTCAGTTTTTCCTCTTACAAAGTCTGCCATGTAAATAGCAAATGTGCCACAGCACGACTCAACTGACTCTTAAATGGAATGGGAGATGAGACTCTGATTGGTTTGTTCTTAAAACACACCCAGAAGTTATAAAGCGTATTTTTACGTCCTTAAGCAAAAGTGGATTCGGATACGCCCTTAATGCTTTGGTGCCATGTGCTTTAGACTTTGCACCTAGATCCTTAAATTAGAGCTTCTTTTGTGTGTGTGTGTGTGTGTGTGTGTGTGTGTGTGTGTGTGTGTGTGTGTGTGTGTGTGTGTGTGTGTGTGTGTGTGTGTGCGCGCGCGTTTGTGTGTGTGTACATGCATGTTCACGTGTGTGTGTGTGTGTGTGTGTGTGTGTGCGCGCGCGTTTGTCTGTGTGTACATGCATGTTCACGTGTGTGTGTGTGTGTGTGTTGTATATTGTATGTGGTATGTATATGTATATGTGTGTGTATGCGTGTGTGCATGTGACTGACTGAATAAACCTGATGTAGACAGACAGTAGTAAAGCACTATGTGTGTGTGTTCTAATTAGCTGCAGTAAATGTAAACAGATGAAGATGAAGAAAGATCTGCGTTCAGTCAGTGTGATGAAGCTCAGACTCAGGAACAGACTGTTGTTTGACCTCCAGCTCTTTTTCTGCCACAACACCACAAAATCAATCTGACTCAATTACAATTCAGATGGTCCTGTGAACAAGAGGCCACACTTGACACAAACGCCATTTAACCTGCAAATCTCTGCCCCGACAAATCAATAAGCCCCTTTCCTGTGTTTATGATCGTTCTTCCTAAATCAGCAGGCAGCATTCGAGATTTCATGTTTAGAAGTGATGATGGAGCAAAAATGGAGCAGAAATATGTAGTACACTGTAAAAAATGCTGGGTTCCAAATAAATCCCTCATGTTGTCCCAACACAAATCAATTAAATTAACTTAATTGTTTTTACAAATTGAAATGGACTTAATATAAAATAATTCAATTGTTCCCCAGGAAAACTCAAGAACTGTGTTGATTCAGTTCATTTTTAAATAAATAGTTTGAACAAGCAGCATTTTTTGTTGTTGTTGTGTAAATCCTACTTACTGACATCAAATGGTATATGTATATATATACACAACGTTGAAAGTCAGAATTATTAGCCCATCCTTTGATTTTTTTTTTCATTTTTAAATATTTCCCAAATGATGTTTAAACGAGCAAAGAAATTTTCACAGTATGTCTGATAATATTTTTTCTTCTGGAGAAAGTCTTTATTTGTTTTATTTCGTCTAGAATAAAAGAAGTTTTAAATTTTTTAAACACCATTTTAAGGTCAAAATTATTAGCCCCTTTAAGCTATATTTTTTCAACTGTCTACAGAACAAACTATCGTTATACAATTACTTGCCTAATTACCCTAATCTTCCTAGTTAACCTAATTAACCTAGTAAAGAGTATGTATGTATGTATGTATGTATGTGTATATATATATATATATATATATATATATATATATATATATATATATATATATATCGCAATAGCAATTTTTTTCGATATTACCGTAGTCGCATGACTCGATAAAACTATAGGTCTTCTGAGAAAATTTGCTCAGGCGAATGAAGCGAACGGGAGGTAGCGGAAACTACAATTCCCATCAGCCCAGGCGTGGCCATCATCCTTTGCGGTCTGTTGTCGCTACAGATCCAGTAATGCGGAAATGGAGTGTGCTTCTAGAAGCAGGAATGAAAAAGAGCTGGAAATGATCGAACCTAAAGCGGGTGTTGTCGCGCGTACTGAATAGCGGTGTTGTCGCGCGCGTACTGAATAGCGGTGTTATCGCGCGCGTTCTGATCAACTGTGTTGTCGCGCTTGTACTGAATAGCGGTGTTGTCGCGCGTGTTCTGATCAGCTGTGTTGTCGCGCGCGTACTGTAAAGCGGGGAGGGGGGGTTGAACGCGCATACTCAAGAGCGGTGTTGTCGTGCGCCTGCTGAAGGGCGGGACGGAGGGTGTGTCGCGTCGCGGGGGCACTTTTGTTCATTTTGGAAGGGCATTTTCTATCCAAGACTAAAAAGGGCATGTGCACTGCACAGGTTGAGCCCTATGTGTGCACGTGCCTGCAAGTTGGGGAATACGACTAATAACAGTCACGGGGACTGCAGAAACACAGCACACTGTTCAGATTGATGCAGACATTGACTTGTACCGCAAAGAGACCTCTATCTCACTCATGGCTTGTCCTCTTAAATGGGGGAAAGACAATGCACAACGTTACCCACTGCTGTCAACCTGGGCCAAGACATATCTCTGTCCCAGAAACCTCAGTCCCAAATGAGAGGGTTTTTTCTGTTGCAGGGGACATTGTAAATACCCAGAGATCCCAGCTTTTACCAGATTATAGTTATATGATAATTTTGCTTAAAACCCATCTCTATCTAAGTGAGTGAGTGATTAAATGTTGAATGTGATGAGTTTTCAACAATACTAAATTGAAACTTTATTTTTTTACATGGTTTAATATTTTTTAGTTATTAAAATTGAAGTTCCTGTTTTAAAGCTTACAGATAGATGGCTAATTTGTATGTCATTGACACTTTTGGCACTT